TGCAGTTTATTTATTTACTGTTTAAATCTGTGTAGTTGAACATCCACGTGGGGAACATCTCACTGGTGGACCAGTTTGAATGGGACATGTCTGAGAAGGAGAACTCACCAGAGAAGTTTGCCCTGAAGCTGTGCTCTGAGCTGGGTCTGGGTGGAGAGTTCGTCACCACCATTGCATACAGCATACGCGGGCAGCTCAGCTGGCACCAGAGGACCTACGCCTTCAGGTACACACTCACATACTCAAATCACACATGCTGTTTTTGTAAATAGTCTCATTTTACTAGTCCCTTAGAGTTAAACAGTAGCAGTTTTGAATCCATTCAGCTAATTTGCAGATCTGGAGGGAGGACTTTCAGCTTAACATAGCATAAATCATTAAATCAAATTAGACCATTAGCATCTCACTTTTTTTTGCTAATATTCCTACTTGAAGCTTGCCCCCTTTGGTAAACTGTGTTCTAAGACTAACAGAATATGGAAAGTTACTATTTTCTAGATTGATATGATTAGGAACTATACACTCATTCTGCACGTATCAAGGAACTTTGCTGCCATACCAAGGCTGCAGCAGGCGCAATGATATATTAATCAGCACTTAAAATTAGTCCGCTGCTAGCTAACTGGATAGCATAGCTGCATAAGAACAGAATAGTCAAGCTTTATATATTTATATAGGAAAATTCTATTCTCAGCTAAGCTAAAAGCGATGCTGCCTGACCCAGAGATTAGCTCAATGGATTGAAATATGTAAAACTCTAGGGGAGTTGTAAAATTAGTCTATTTACAAAAAAGTAAAGAGTTCCTTTAAACTACATTCCATCACAGTCTTGTAGAGCAGAGGTTCTCAAAGTGGGGGTCGGGACCCCCCGAGGGGTCGCGGGACAATAAAGGGGGGTCACCTGGTGATTTTCAAAAATCAATTAATTTTTAATAAACCTTAATACTTACTGTATTTTATCAATAACCTACTGATGAGGAAAAAATAGTCGTTTATAGTTACTATAAACTATATAGTTACTATAGTAGCTTATAGTTACTAGTTCTATTGGATTGCGACTTCTCGGGTAATTACATTATACTAAAGACACAGCAATACTGTCAGATGCAGCAGATTTTGTAACACCAGGTTAAGCTTTCTAGCCCATTTACAGCACTGACATACATAAAAAAAAAACACAGAATAGACTTGGGTCTATTGGTGTTTGTGTGCGTCATTGCATACAAGGTTTCTGTATTTATAACCACCACCTCAGAGAATATTGGGAGTCACGAGTCACTGGCATTCTCATTTTGGGGGTCGCGGGCTAAAAAATTTGGGAACCCCTGTTGTAGAGCAGCAGTCCTTTTGTGCTAAAACAAAAGTGAAGTGTTTGTGTGCCTTTGAGTTGCTGCTGATTGATAAAACACAAAGGAAAGTCCAGGGGCCTCATGTACGAGGACTTGCGTTGACATCATTCTAAGACATTGTGTAATCACAAAGCTGTAAATGTGTGTACGCAGTAAAAAATTCAGATGTATGAAACACTGCGTACGCAGAATCACACGCATATTCTCTTTGTACGTTCGAATTAACGTGAAACTGAGCGCACGTAAACGAGCGCAAAACCCCTCCCTGCCTTCTCCCCTGTATGAATATGCTAATGACTCTACTTTGCCAAAACCAAAAGAAGAAGCAATGGCAAAAGCAAGCAAAGAGAGAAACTTTGAACCGAATGTGAACTGGAGGTGTGCCTATCGGAGGTAGACCGGAGAAAAACTGTTATTTGCAAGTTTGTCCACTGGAATGAGGTAAATTAAGTAATAGTCCAGCGGACATCAGCAGCGCGAGTGGCTTAGCTCTTAAAGTGCATGGCAACATGTTTTGACACTATCATTCCTGAACCCGGTGAGAATCCAGCGTCTGATGAACTGATTTTTCTTTTTTCCCCATTTGCCTAGTCTTCTTCACGAGGAAGACAAGTAGGAATCATTAATAAGTGTGTGTATTATGTTAAGCGCATTTGAACATCACATATCATTTGCACATTTATTAAATGGAAATGTTTCCGATTCATGTAGCCTATGCAAATTCGTCTTCAGATGGCGCCTTTATAGCAATGTGCGTGCAGTAGATCGCTCCGATTAGATTGGGGAAACTGGCGATTGCTGCAAGTTGCGCTTTAATGTTTGGCTGGTCAACTGTATGGTATGGAAACCGTATATACCTGCTAGACATGCGGATGATCATAATCCCGTCTCATACAGCTGCCATTGCACGGCTCAAAGATACTTTGTAGTGTTCAATTTAACATGATTGCCTCTAGGAGTTGCCAATGGAAATAAAACAAACACACACAAGAAATGAACGTACGTCAGGCATTAAGTTGGGGTGGACCAACGCACATTCTCACGTTCATTTCATCGTTAGTACATCCAAACGTGAGCGTGAAACCTGGCGTACGCAAAGTTTTTGTGCGTACGCAGCATTGATACATGAGACCTCGGTGTGGCTATAGAGAGTTAGACCCATTCAAGTATTGCTCCATTTGTCTGATAAAGAGCCTGAGGAAAGTGTTCAGAGCTTGAACTTTTAAAGCAGTCAACTTTCTTCAAGTTGGATGTTATTTCAGACTGTCTGCTGTCTGGGGAAATTGCAAAACTCATTTTAAGGGTTGTGTGTTTTGTCTGGAATGAAGACATGGCTTGTACTGATCATTTTAATCTACTGAGGAAAGCATGTTTCATCTCTATGAATCGGTTCATTTAAACCCTTTTTAAAATATCTCTCTGCTTCATATATTTGTTAGAATTTCACTAATAATTAGGAATAATAATTCTTTCTGAATTTTGTCTTCAACTGTATATACACTGCATATATGTACAGTGCTCAGCATATATAAGTACACCCCTCACAAATCTCTCTTTTAAATTCATATTTTAATAGGAAGCTGTACAAAATTATATTTGTACATGTACATTAGATTAGTCAGTACTGAAGCCAAATCTGGAGCTTATTTAACAAAATAAACTTAAGAAACGGTCCAAAAACTAGTGCAGCCAAATTTATACGATAGAAAAATATTTAATATATAATTTATAAAAATAGCAAAAATCAAGAGAAGCAAAACAATTTTAAAATTTAGTTGAAATTTTGTAGTTTGTAATTAATTTTTTTGCTTGAATTTAATTATACTATCCTAAAATATTATTTTGATAAATGTATGTTTAATAAATCTGTTTTGTTTAAATGCACCAAAATACATTGCCTATATTTACTGAGAAATGAATACAAATATTCATTTTAAGACAGGGTGTACTCCATTATGCTGAGCACTGTATAAATATTTTTATATTTGCCATACTTACCAATTTTTGGTGACTTTTTTTTATTTTGTACACTACTGACGTCATTTCTTCCTAATTTAAAATAAAATGTTGTCATTTAAAGTAGTTCTTTTGTTCTGCATAAAGTAACCCAAAAGCTCATGTTTTCACACATTTATACAAATATTTAGATTTAGTTTTTGACAATACAATTCCATAGTTTTATCTTCAGAGAAATATTGTCATTCTTAAGACAAAAAAATGCTAAAAATGACAAGGTTAACATTTTACTTAAACCCACAGCCATCCAGACATTTGAAGTGTTCTCTTGATTTCTTCCATAGCTTATTAATGTGTTTATAAAAGCATCTAATTGTTTGTCTACACCATATTCGCATGATGACATACGTGCAACAACTTTGTGTCAGTAAACTGATGCCTCATTCTATTTATGACACAAAGGACAAGTGATGTAGACAAACACTTGCTGCTGTGATAATAGTGGTATTCATTTACATAAAAAGAATGATTTTAAATACTCTTGTTTTGTCTCATTTTAGTGAGAATCCTCTGCCCACGGTGGAGATTGCCATCCGAAACACAGGAGATGCAGACCAGTGGTGTCCACTGCTGGAGACACTGACAGACGCCGAGATGGAGAAGAAGATCAGGGACCAGGACAGAAACACAAGGCAAGACTTCAACTGCCTCACCTTTTGTATAGTAGTTGTGCACTCCTTTTACTTCGGAATGGGAGAAAATGTAACACCCGGTATGGGGAATAAGCCTTCTATATAACAGGGCCAACCTTTGAATAGTAAACTCATCACGTCGCTGCAGTTGCCACTGGAAACTCTTGTTGCTGTAGAAACAGGCAGTGTTCTCAGTCGTGTGTTTTCACTTTCAAACGCACAGGTTTTGTCACTGTTATGCCAGGTGTCCACACTGCTCCGGCATTTTAGGCACGACAAATGCTAAAAACCTTGATTAGTGTTAAACCACATTAGTGTTTTACCGATTAATGCAGACTACCATTTTCAGTCTCGCACTTGATCTCATCGCTTCTCGAGTGTATTCGTGTGCTTTCAGCAATTGATCAGAGTTGTCCTGCTGTGTCTATCCTCCATCTTGCAGTATGATTGCACAGCAACTGAACACTACCCTGGACAGTCATGTAGTGTGAAAACAATGGCGATCCAACGTTTATGAAGCTCATGCTGTGCAAACTCGGCCTCAGATCGTGGAGGGATTTTGATCATTCCAGGCCTTGTATTTAACTTTTATTTTCTCTCATTTCAGGCGAATGAGGCGACTTGCAAACACAGCCCCAGCATGGTGAATCTCTCTCCCACAACTATTTAAATCAGAAGAAAATCCAAAAAAGCTCTGACTCGGCATTACTGACAAGAAGATATAAAGACATTCCATCGGCCAGTCCAGATCAGAGAGATCGCCGTCAACCTAAAGCATCAAAGCTTGCATCCTTCATACCCCTAATCTGTTTGCTTGGAAACAGACAGTCTTGAAATGTTGAGAATATTTTATGGTATCTTTATTTGTCTTGTTTTGTGTTCGTGTATAAATGCCATTTTGTAAACATAATGTGCTTTTAAATAAAATGATTAAGAAAAAAACAGTTGCATTGCTTTTTGTTCAGTAGTTTGCAATATATTTGAACATTAATTCAGATGGCAGTTAAAATCCAACAAGAAACTTTATTAATTGCCCATTTAGTATATATATATATATATATATATATATATATATATATATATATATATATATATATATATATATATATTCAGATAAACATGAGCTTCCTTTAACATATGGTTTTAAAAAGATTTTGTAAAGCACAGACTCATCTTTCAGTTTCACCATACAAAGCCTTTTGTATTTTGCGGCGGTGCTGGGCTAACAAAGGCCACAGGCTTGGAAATGCATAGTCTGCAGTTTAATTTGCCATTTCAGATAGTCGGCACATTTGTGAACGTGTCCACCTGCGCCACCACTCAATGTATTGTAGGAAAAAGATATACGGCACAGTATTGTACCCAAGAAAGTATCCTCTCGTGGAAATCACAACCCCTCCGGAATGAAAGATTGTGGTTTGGGAGATTTGAATGGCTTCTCTTTTCAAGTCCATTACTGCCAGCCACCGCTGCTCTGTGAGATTCATTCAACACTAGTTGTTTTAAAAAACAGCAATTGTTTGAACAGACGGGCATTGTTTTTTCCAGAACAAAGTAAAAGTTGTTCGCGATGTCCATGGCACTGAATGCTAAATTTGGATTTTGTGCGCTTAATTAGCACAAAAGGCACAAAGGTGGATAAAGTTTCAATCTTTTTGTGGGATACTTCTGAAAGTGTGACCACTTTCTTCATCTTCAACAACTATTGCATAGTTTGAGTTACAACTTCACATGTAGGCTAAAACTTCAAATACAACAAACAGCACGTGAAAAGTTCTGGGTGTAAAACCTTCAGTTTCCGTCTCTCTGAAGATCGTCCTCATTTTGATCTTCTACACCTTGTCCATTCCAGGACATCCCACTCGGATCTTCTGGAAGAGGGGCGTAATTGGGATCTTCTTGAGGTGGATCAAACAAAAATCGACTGCAAATGATCAAGAAATGTCTTTAGTTTTTCTCCCTGAAGACAAAACGAAGAGTAATAATATATGATATATGTTACTTACAAAATTCCAGGAGTGGCAAGCAGCTTTCTGCCTCCTGGCTGGTTGGGAAATACATCCTCCAGGAAGTAGTAGATGTGTCCAACACCAATCCCTAGTTGATTCATTACATTTTAAAAGATAAGTAAAATACTTTCGATCAGCTAGGGTTTGTGGAGCCGATCAAAACGAAAAGTGAAGACAGTAAAGCAATAGTTCACTTAAAAACTAATATTTCTGTCATCATTCAAACAACCTGTGTTTCTTTTGTTAAGTACAAAGAAATATTTAGAAAAATGTTGAGGGGCGAGGGGAAGGGACAGCCATTGACTTCCCTGTTTTTTATTTATTTTTATTTTTTGCTACAATGGATGTCAATGGCTGCTTTTCATTTTTGGACAAACTATCCTTTTAATGCTTCAAATAAGTTCTGCATCAAAGAAACGCTGTTGTTTTTAACTTTATATTCGTGAAATAGTCATGAAAGTTTCTATGTTAAAGGTGCAGTATGTAAATTTGACACACAGTGGTTGAACTAGGTATTGCATTGCTAGATCAAAACACTGGCAGACACAAATTGCCAGATTGAGGACCAACAGGAGTGTACCTGACTATCGAACCTAAAGGCTCATTTGAATCGTGTTCTTATTAAAAGCAATGCCACGCCATAGAAGAATATTTTATATTTTGTTTTTGTTGAAACCAACACCTCGAATTTAGAAACGGCTTCTATTTCTTGCAGCTGAACAACAGAAAACTGACAAAGATCACCTCAGGTACACCTCATGTGCTTCATTTAGTGTTAAATGCTAACAATGTGAGTTTGAATGCCATTTTACATGACATTTATTGTCATACTACTGAAAGCAGCAGCAGATAGTTTATCTCAGATTTTGAAAATAACTATGTGAAATTAAACTTAAAAACTTTGACTCAGTGTAAACAACACAAATCAGTGATTCAGCATGTACATTTAATAATGTTAAAGAGGTTTAATGTGAACCTTACCATTTCATGAGTGCATATTCTGTGCTTCTAAATGGCTGCATTTAAATTTCTGTTGGGTTTTGTCTGGTGCAAACAACCACTGAAAATCTCATCAGGTAGTGCATTGTTTTGACACATTGTTTACAATGTAACCTGTTCACCTAATGTTTACGTTCGTAATGTTTATATTATTTGCTAATTAATAATCTCATGTGGAACTCTAAATCTGCGTCTCATTTCAGAGTCTGCTACTGTCTACTGGAGTTCTCATTTCAGTCACATGCTTTGAGAGCCTTTCTGACTGAATGATTGAAATGCATGGTTTTCCAACAAGGCAACCCAGGGTGCTGATATATAACTGGGTGAGCTTGCAGTGGGCGGGTTAAAAGAACCAAAACAAAGACAGCATTCCAGCACGGAAAACACATTTTCAAAGACTATAGCACTGTTTGTCAGATAAACAAGAATGTTCAGTTAGCATGTTTCTTAAACATCTGCAATCATAATGGTATTTTTATGCTTTAGAAGAAAAACTTACATGCAGCACCTTTAAGAAGCAAAAACTGGTTCAAAATAATAAAAATAATCTTTATGTATCTGGGCCCATTTTGGAGTTTTCATGAAATGAAATTTACTAAACATGACAGAAATGTAAATTTAATAAAGAGGTTTATATATTTATTTCTAAAAAGCATATTAAATGCAGAAAAAAATGTCTACTTAATATCAAATAATTTTATGTTTTGGCAAAATGTCAGAATTTTGGTGAAACAATGTTCACTCAGGGTGCTTTCACACCTACACTTTTGTTTCGGAACGTGTCTCGATTGCCCATTTAGCGCGGTTCGTTTGGCATATGCGAACAGGGTAATCGCGCTCTGTTCCGCGCCAAAGTGATCACTCCGAGATCGCTTGAATGAGGTGGTCTCGGCTCGATTGAAACGAACCCTGGAGTGGTTCGATTACAGTGAGAAAGCGATCCGATCCGAGTGCGGTTATATCACAGTGTTTTATGGATATGTAATAGGCATACGGCCATATGAAGAGAGAATTATGAGTATGGCGGGAAGTTTCGCGAGTCTCCGGATGCCCGCAAACGAGTGATGATCTCTCGGTAATCTCGCGTCTCCCTCCCGGTCCTTAAATAGGCATCGGCGCGCACCCTTCTCACCCCTCCCCACCGCATCTCTCCTCAAGACACATCGCGCGCACGCACCCTGTCAATCACCATCAAACCACCACCTCTCCTGACAGCTGAGCGGGACACTGCAAAATAAACCCTGACACTCTGACCAATGTGAGGAGAGTTTACTCACACGTGACTTGTTTTAGCTCTTTTATTCCGATTAGAAACTTTGCAATGTGAAAGCGAACCGCTCCAAGAGCAAAGAGCAACAATGTAACATTTGTAATCTCTGTTTTGGAACAACTGAATCGATTCACAGGTGTGAAAGCACCCTCAGTGTTACTGATATACTCATTTAAAAAGTCTTCTGACCTTAACTTGAACAATTCATCAATTAAAATCTATCTAGTTCCAAATAAGCAAGATTTTTTGGTATATGAGCTATTATCACAGAAACATGAAACTGGCATTTTTACGAAAATGCTTAAAATGTAAATCAGTCATTACTTTTGGCTCAGAAAAAAAAACCTTTAAAAAGAACACATTATAATGTACAACAAAATAAATCAACTTGTATAACATTTTAGTTATTCTGATGCTTGAAACCTCTTTTAATCTTTGACCCATAAATGACAGTAATCATATCAAAGGTCAGCTCTTAGCTCATGAGTGTTTCAGGAGGACAGAGGTGAACGTACCCAGGAGATCAATAACAATAGAGTTGCCCAGCAGCAAAGAGAAGCCCATGAGCACCCAGGGCAGGAATGGAGCCTGGAAGTTGAGCAGGCCGAAAAAGTTCATGCGGACAAACGGGTTCCTTCTGCTCCATACATAAACCAACATAATGGTGAACGCCTGGCCCAAGAAGAACAGGTTAGAAAACAGACCAAAGAGCTGAGGACTATGGAGTTAAAGAAATTAGAAAGTTGGAGAAATAAATTAAAATAATTTATCACTAAAAATTAATGACCAGAAAGAATGAAGTGTTCAGGTAACACATATAATTATAAAAGATTCAGTTTGTTTAGCTAATGCATGATTAGGTAAGGGGATTAAAATTCAACTTTTATGATTTAATTTCTTCTATTGAACACAAATCAAGTTATTTTGAAGAATATCAGGGGAAATAGCCATAGTTGAAACAAAAAAAACAATAATTATTACTATAGTTATGGTAGTATAATACTATAAGTATACTATAAGTGTTTTCAACATTTTTCAGTATATCTTAAAAAAAAAAAAAAAAAAAAAAAAAACTTAAAAGACAAGTTTCAAAAGCTGACAAAATATTTCATTTTGTGTGAACTATTTCTTTACTAAACAATGCCAAAATTCATCTAAAGGACAGTTAATATTATTTAAATGAAATATTTAATTAAACTCAAATGTTGTATTTGTAGACATTATTTAATAGACCTGAGCTATTACACTGTCATTAAGATTAACAAAGAATATCATGTACTGTAACAAATATTTTGCTCATTGTTAGTTTGTTATGTAATGCAGTAATGAATGTTACCTTAAAGGACCTTATTGTAAAGTGTTTTCATTTTGAATAAATCTAACAATGCATCTTTAACTACGGAAAATAAATCTGCCACTTTAAAAAAATTAAATCACGGTTTTGTAATTCACATTAATGACAACAAGTTCATAATATTTAGATAAGAATTCATAAGATAATGCTTTTATCTTATTAAATCTTTTACAATTAAATCCTCAATTGTTATGGAAAAAATTATCAGGAAAAAAAAGAGTTATTTATGAATAAATGATCAAATAAAAAATACATGTTGTCAAATTATTGAAATTATGATAAAACAACATTTTTAATGTCTAGAAAATGTAGAATTTGAAGAATTCATCAATTATTTACTTGTCATTATTTCAGCTTTATCTCATAATGAGAATCAGTTAGTAAATAAAGGTATGAATTAGAAATTAAATTAAATGTACAGTGTTACAGTACTGTAGTTCACCCAGAAATGTTATTGCTTATTCATCATCACATCATATAAATAATAATACATGAAAATAAATTAATAATAAATAACATCATATATTTCTTCATAAATCCTTAATAATAGCAGCAATTCAGCATATATGACCTCATGCATGACAGACGTTGAGTTGTTTCTCTTAAAGGGACAGTTCAACCAAATAAAATAAAAATACCTCATCATTTATTGTCCCTCAAGTTTTTGCAAACCTTTTTGAGTTTTTCTTTAGTTAAACACAAAAGAAGATATTTTGAAAAAATGTTAGAAGCTATAACTCTCCCGTGTTCGGGTGGGTTTCCTCCTGTTGCTCCGGTTTCCCCCACAACATGTGGTAAAGGTGAATTGGGTGGGCTAAATTGTCTGTAGTATATGAGTGTGCGGATGAGTGTGGATGTTTCACAGTGATGTGTTGCAGCTGGAAGGGCATTCGCTGTGTAAAACATATGCTGGATAAGTTGGCGGGTCATTCCGCTGTGGCGACCCCAGGGACTAGGCCAAAAAAAAAGGAATGAATGAATGAAGTCATAACTACTGACAATCTGAGTAGGAAAAAAAAAGTTAAAGGTTTTCAACTTTCTTCAAAATATCTTCTTTTGTTTTCATCAGAAGACAGAAACTTAAACTTATTTATACCAGGAGGAAGATGATAAATTATGATGTTAAACTGATATTTAATGTTGTGTATTCTGAAGGATACGGTCATGAGAACACCACCAAACAGGAACATGTAAACGAAATCTGCTGTTCGGCCACGGAAGGAGCCTTCCTCCAGCATCCGGCAGTATCGGTATCTGCTCAAGTCAAGGACATATACTCTACAGACCCTCGGCACAGCTGCACACCACACACACAAAACCCACGTTATGCAAAATAAACACTCCGTGAAACTGTCTGACACTTCCTGAACATTTCACACTGACAAACACAATTATGCTGATCATAAAAGGGATACAGGAAAATCATGTTGAACAAAAAGCTGAAGCCTAGAGGTCCAAAAAACAAGAAGTTGGTGATCAGTCGCCATATCTAGAAAAGAAAAGAGAAGCACACATGATTATCAAAACTAGAGATGTGTAAAGTAGCCATGTGTCAGGGGTGTTTTAAACTTACCTGGTATTTTTTTAATATCAAGTCAGGGTTGAAATAGAGTTGAAATGGTGTGATGAGCTCCAGTTGCTGTAATATGCAAAACAGTCAAATTAGTTGAAGAAAGATTGTTGACTGTTGTTGCTGAAACATGAAACTGTTACAGATTGTTTGCATAAGATGTATGGCTCTTCGTTTGTTTAATTTTTTGGTCTTTGATTTTTACAAGCACTGGGAGGGCAGTATTGTAGTTAAATAAAACTAAAACCCTTTAAACTACTGACTATTGTTTTTTTTCTTTTGATGTTAATGTTAACTAAAATCAAAAAACGTAAAAGCTAGTTGGAAGGGAGACTTTCATTTTTTTTTTTATTTATGACACTATATACGCATTACGCACGCATGCACACACACACAAACAGACACACAATATATATATATATGAGCAATATCACAAGAGTAGCACTGCATTGTGGCTGTATGTCTCTGCACTGGTGGGAGGCGTGCGTTGTGCCTTAGTGTCCCAGCAGTGCTAATATAAAGCCACATTGCAGTGCTACAAGTGTGATATTGCGTTTATATAACAGTTCGACGGCATAATCATGTGTATAAAAAAGAAAATCAAACACGGAGAGTCTAAAAACCCTTTTGTAATAGGAACTACTTTCTTCCATTATTTACTCACATCTGCAGCTGACGTCAGAACTGCAGAAACTGTTGCTCATTCACAAACGTCACTTTAGAACTAGTATTTCAATCATATCTTAGTGATCAATAAAACTGTCAATGAAACATACGAGGCATAATAGTTCAGTTTAATTATTTACTGTAAATAATATGCTGTACTAAACAGAAACATATTATAGTATACAACAGCTAAAACAAAAAATTCAATAAAAACAGGTGTATATATAGTCAAATAAATACTATAGTCATTTATAGTAAAGGTAAATATTTTTGATAATAAATAAATAATTATGTATACACACACACACACACACACACACACACGTGTATATATATATATATATATATATATATATATATATATATACATACATACATACATACATACATACATACATACATACATACATACATACATACATATATATATATATATATATATATATATATATATATATACATACAGTTGAAGTCAGAATTACTAGCCCTCTTTTGAATGTTTAAAATATTTTCACAGTATGATATTTTTTCTTCTGGAGAAAGTCTTATTTGTTTTATTTTGGCTAAATATTTTATTTTATGGTGTTACTTCGTTAAGATATTTTGAAAACTGTTAGACGCCATAACTACTATTGTCCACAGTAGGAAAAAAGGATGAATGTTTTCAACATTCTTCAAAATATCTTCTTTTGTGTTTATTAGAAGAAACTTACAAATGTGTAGCATATTGTGTACCATATGTGCAAATTTGTACCATATCCTGGTTCTGTATTGTACACACACAATAATTATACAAGATATAAACCAAGTAGAAAATGTTACTTTCATTGGCCTAAGTTTGATGCTAAAATAAAGATTGACGCTAAAATACCGATCACGCATCATTATGGTGTTACTTCGTTAAGCATTTACACTGACACTTGATACTTCAGTGTGGGGAAGATCATAATTCTGAAGAGAGGCATACGGACTTACTGTAATTAATATGCGGCTCTATATTTACCCTGGAACTTAAATACAGAGTACAAATGTACAGAAGTAGACATGTTGTAAAGGCAGTTTAGCTACTCACCACAGCGGCCGTGGTTAAGACACATGCAGTGGTGTACGCGCGAGTGACCGCGGGAATCTGCATGTACTCCTGAGTGACGCTGTTTGCCATGATCTTTCTCTTATCTACACTTCAGCTCTCACTAATACCACATATTAGCCGCTCTGACGCCGAATAAACAACGACCAGTTCAGTAGGACGAGACTTTATGCTTCGGTAAATCCATGTCCGCGTTTAGTGTTTGTTTCGAACTGGTCATTTTTAACGGTTCATGATGTTTGCCTGTGAATATGAGAGCTTGACTGTGGGCGGAGTGACACAAACACGCTTCATCGGTCGTTTTAGCTCCTCCACGTGGATAAAAAATATATATTTGTTCTTCCGTGGACCAATGAGATCGCGCGGGTTCAGTGACGTCTTGTTGACAAATTTGTGTTTAAGTAAACAAGCCACTTTTTTTTTTTTTTTGCAAATTTGATGCAATTCTTCGTAAACTTGTTCGGCTCTTATCTGGTAATATGTCTTCTGAATCTAATATTTTACATACTAATGATTTAAGTATCAATGATGTGAAAATTATAGACAATGAATTTAATAACATTTACAGTAAAAAGTTATGCAGAACTATATTGTTGCCTAAATCAAACCCTTTTAGAATTCCTTATTTGAGCAGATTGAATGGGGAAAAAAGTTTGGAACTTAGGCTACCTAGTGAATACTGTCTCACCAATAAAGTTGACACCTGCTTTTTGAATGCACATAGGCCTATACCCAAATGTTTTGGTTTAATGTTGAATATCTCATATTTAAACTTCAGTTTTCTATCAATTTAATTATTATATAGGCCTATAGAAAGTTCCATGTACACAAACAAAAATGGTCCAATGATAAACCTAACATTTATTTGCTTAAAATTGATCTTAAGGTTTATATTGAAACCCTAAATAAGGCATTAAAATGCATTAAAATTAAAAAAGCTATATTAATGTATACAATTTTGAAATCATTTTCTTATGCTAATTTCTTGTAATTTATATAACCCCTGTAATTTAAATTTATTTATTGTTTTTATACTCTATTTGTTCCTTTGATGTGAAAATAATTGTAAGCACTGTATTCCTCGATATTTTGTATGCTATTGTTCTTGTTATGCAATAAAACAAGCCACTTTTTATGTTTTGTTTGCTGGAATACATTATTTTTGGCACTATTCATGCCCGTAACCAGGGGGGTTTGGGTGATTCGAACGAACCACCCCCACAGCCAAAAGGTCCAGCATTTGTTCTTTTAATTATTTTATTTAATTTAATATTACATATGTATTATATAATTAATATAATGTATTTATATTCATATTCCCGTCATGTCTGTGTTTATGAAGCAGTTTGCTCACTTTGCTTGTTTTATTCTGATCAGATAGGCCTATCAGATCGCTCAAACCACTTCAGAAGGTGATCTAGGATGCATTTCAGATGAAACTGGACAGGTATAATAATTTTAGACAAAACTAATATAAACAAAATTAATTATGACCAGGAGAAAATCTGACCTGCTCCTGAAACACCTGTAGGTGCCCTTTTAAAGCTTTAATACTAAAACATAAAGCAAACATGTTCCAACTTTTCAAGCCTGTAGCCAGGGGGGTTCAGAAGACCCACCCCTCACTGACAAAGGTCCAAAATTTGTCCCATGTATGAACTCATTTGTCCTATTTTAACTGCTATGCCATCATAAATAATGAAAATAATCCATCGAAAAAGGCTTTAAGACCTATTGGAATTCTCTGTCGGCTGTTGCTTCGGTGGGACTATAATCTGATGTAAGAGTCTTCTTTCACTACTTTATTGTTTTTAAACAGAGAAAACATTTTACAGGGAACTTTATTCTTAATCTTGGACCTTATTCTTGAAATAAAAATGAGCAATAAAAAGTTGTGAAGCACCAGAAGCGGACCATATTACATTAATTTGAATATATTTTGGCTATTGTTGATTTCCAGGAATTTTCAAATGTACATTTTTTACCAAAGAGACTAGAAAAATTCTGAAGAATTAATTATTATTTTTATTATTATTATGTTTTAATTATTATATTTTTATTGAAATGGCCAAATTGTGACTGAGGACAGTTGAATGTGCTGGCCAGTTTGTTTTCTGTCTAGTAAATGATAGTGGGCTAAAGTTTCTTTTTTTTGCTTCAAAACTTTAACAGATTGCTGTTTTTCCTAATGATATATGACAGTGGTTCTCAAACTGTGGTACGCGTACCATTAGTGGTACGCGGGCTTCCTCCTAGTGGTACGCGGAGGAACCGCTGAATAATGAAAGAAACAATTAACACTTAATCCTTTAATGCGTAATATAACATTGATGTGATCAGCATTGGCTGTTTAGTGAAGCGTACGATCACAACGCTGTGCTTAGAATGTTTATTTTAGTGCATTGTGTCATAAGCTGCTGAAAATCAGTTTCCAAAGTTTAAGAATTGATTCTGAAGCGTGATGTGACTGACATGAAAAGTAGCCAATCACAGTCGACCTTGTCTTGTTGCGTGAAACGTAAGGGCGGGACAAATGCTTTCTGTGTTGCAGAGACAGAAAAAACAACTTAAAAACAAATGTTTTGTTGGAATAATGCTTCTCGGATGTTTTCACTGTATATATGTTCAACAGAGTAATTAAACCGCGGACATATGTCCTGCCTTTTTGATGATCTACATACACGTTTCGCTCTCCGACAGCCAGTCTGACCTGTCACTCCTCCAAACACATTCTGAATGGCGGCGCGGGAATTGCGGTATTGCGCAATTATTCATTTCTGCAAATGCGGCGAGTGCTTTATTTTAACACGAGAGCGCATTCATGTACGCAAATCGCTAAAACAGATATGCGAGCTCTTAAATATGCTTTTTTCAAATGAACTGCAAGACCTCTCATGATCGCCTGTGTGCTCAGATTGAATACAATCGCGATCTCTCCACTATTAAAGCAAACATTATTTATCTTTGCTCCTTGACTAAATTTAGTCAAAAGTATTAAAAGTTATCAAATATTTAGAATTAGATTGATGCATGATCGATGACAATGCTAATGGTCTTCTTATTTGGCTGTGTTGTGAAGTGAAACTTACTTTTAGCAAAGGTGAAATTTTTTTTATTTCTTTACGACAAAAGAATTATGCTGGAAATGTTTCTGGATGAGGTATTTGTGTGATTTACACATTTAGCTGTATTCTGATCTGTCCTAAAGCATTACAGGTCAAAGCAATTCTTTGTTTCTTATTGTTTATTTATCAAAATTAACAATAAGGCTCTGAGGCTTAAAGCACTGTTTTGATAAATGTATTGTTGTCATATTTCAAATACCTCAAGTAAAATGAAGCCATTTGTTTTATTTTTTTACTGACAGTGTACTTGTATTTTTTTAAAGTTCTATTTTAGATTAAGATCAAGTGTAAAATAAAATCTACATGTGATGTACAGCTATTTAAGAAACAAATTTGTCATATTGTAAAGAAAAATAGTGTAAAATATGTAAATAAAAGGCCAAATTAAATCTTTTTACCATATACTTTAATTTAACCTTTCAAAGCTTGAAAATATCGTTTATAAAAATGGGCAAAAAGTGTCTCTATGGCCTTAAAGATTATGTGGTAGTTTTACCAGTGCTATTGAAAAAGATTAATTGTCATGAAAGGAAAAATCGACCATACTTCCTTTGTTAGTACAAATTCCTATACATGTAGCTTTGGATTTAAGCAATTAAACCATTCAATCAGGTTTAAACTTAAAAAAAGTGATTTCATAATGAAAATCTGATTTTTTTTTTTCAAAAGTAACCAACTAGTACTTTTTAAAAGAGTACTTTGTACTTTTACCTAATATTAGTATTATTTACTAACATTTTTGTTATTTTAGCAGTGTAATAGTACTTGAGAAAGATTTCACAAGCATTTAATGCAGGTTTATTATATTATTAATATATGATTCATAAATATTATTATTAAGTGTTTTTATTTGTATCTATTCATATGCAATGTTTTATGGGTTGCTGAGAATACATTTCAGGTCTTCAGTACATAGCATGTCAGTCTTGAAAAAAAAATAGGTGCTGGAAAAAGTGCTTAAAATTCCTTGATTTTCATAAGGCTGTGCCTGTATGAACCCTGTCATATGTACATTGACCATATATTTCAAGATTTGTCTGAAAGTGTAGGAATATGACATATAGCCTATATTCATAAGGTCCAAGCAACATGTCCAGCTTTTGATGAATAGGCTACTATGAATACTTTAGATTTAAGTACAGCAGTTTTCCTTTTACTTTTTATCTTTTTACTTTTTTTCATTTTTAATGAACTTTTAAAAGCATATTTTAACTAAAACTTTTTTTTTTTATCTGCAAGCACAGTTAATGTTCAGACTATTTCAAATGTTTAAAGTGATTGACAATAATACATATTCTTAATAATAGGAATTAATTTGCATCATTTTTAAACTGTGCACACCTGTAGCTGCTTAATTAGGCCTACGACGCTATTTTTTAATACTGGTTAAAAAATAGCATCGTAAGGTGGTACTTGGAGAGACAATTTTTTTCTAAGGTGGTACTTGGTGGAAAAAAGTTTGAGAACCACTGACTTAGAAGAATAATGTAAACTTTAAAGAGTTTCGAGCAACACAGTCCATCACATGAAGTTTATTAATATCAAAGATAACAAAATATATTTTTCTTTGTGGCATGTTCTCTAATTTATATACTCTGGTAATGTTAATATGTACAATATAAAACTTGATTCTTAACTTACTGATCTATACTACATTCTGTTTGCAGATCATTGGCATTGATATATAGTCATCACTATGATTCCTTAGGAGCATATTCTCTGTTTTATTTTATTTGACCTCAGTTCTTTCTCTCTTTTTGTTTTAATAGATTTGTGCATTTAATAATTTTTATTTTTATTTACACTTCATGTTCTCTTTTTTTTGTTTACTTTATAACCCATGCATGAAACTTATGCAGAGGGGAATGTGAGGAGGGGGCATGCCTAGTACAAACATATTTAATTCTTTGAGTTTAACTTTAATATACTGTATGTTAAGCGACATGTTGATGATTGTTGGTTATTTTGTACAGATGCCGCCTGAGATCTTGCAGTGGATCCTACTGAGAGTTGTCACACAGGATGGTGATGGGACATTTCTGCAACTCTCACTGACATCCAGGACCTTCTGAGCCATTGTCATTCATTCATTAATTTTCTTGTCGGTTTTGTCCCTTTATTAATCCAGAGTCACAACAGCGGAATGGACTGCCAACTTATC